TTTATAAAGAAAATAAGTTATACAAAAAGGGAAACAAAATGTAGGTGAGTTTTAGGTCTTCGTTATCAAATTGTTTAATTAACAAGTCAGTAAATGAAACAGAATGTACTTTACAACAAGAAAAAATATGTCTAATAAAATTATAGGGTTGGTTATTATTGCTCTTGTAAGGTTAATAACTCACAATGAGACAAAAAATTATAATATGCCGTCTTGTTCATAATTTATGTAGATCATCTGCCACAAGAAATCAATCAATCGTCTCTCTCCAGCAACAATGATATTGTTCACAGTCCTAAATTTTTGTTTGGAAAAATAGTAAATAAAGACCCTCTAATATGCAAAATGACAGATAGGTCACCTGAATAAGTGAAATTACTCACAAGGACCGGGTTTCAAATTGCCATTATGAAATCATGGCCAAATTACCAAAATACCCCCTCTTTATTTTTTTTTAAAAACAAGAACGCCACTGCCTCTCGGGAATCCGGCCATCGGCGTCAGAGCTCTGGCACCCCGGCTGCCAGCCGCCGAAGCTCTGATGCCGGCGGCCGGTTCCGGCTACTACCGGCGGCCTTCCTTTGTTTTTTTTTTTGCAATTGTTTTTTTTAAATAGGGGGGGAAGTGAGGTTGGGGGATCAAATCCCCCAACCTAATGCTTCCCAAAATTAGCAATGACCATCGAGCCAACAAATTTTTGCTAACATTATAATACAAAAAAAAATATAAGTTAACTCATTTACTCTTGTTCCAGGTAATAACAACAATACATTTGGAAATAACAAGTTCTGATTGTAAAATAACACGTCTGGAATGAAAATTTAACAATATATTTTTTTATAACAATAAATTTTGTTGCAGGTGATAACAACAATACATTTGAAAATAATAAGTTCTGATTATAAAATAACAAGTATGAGATTAAAATTTAACATGTTTTTTTTATAACAACACACTTTGTTTCAGGTGATAACAACAATACATTTGGAAAAAAAACAAGTTCTGATTATAAAATAACAAGTTTGGAATTAAAATTTAATAGCACCTTTTTTTTATAACAACACATTTCATTCCAAGTGATAATAACAATACATTTGAAAATAATAAGTTCTGATTCTAAAATAACAAGTTTGGAATTAAAATTTAATAACACGTTTTTTTATAACAATTAATTATTTTATACTTTTGAAAAATAAATTATTTATAACTTATAAAAATTATTTTTAATCTGTTTAATTTGCTAAAAAAATAATTTTTATCTCCAATTTATAATTAGAACTTGAAGTATAATTTATTATAGATTAAAAATACTTTTTTATTGTTCAAATTTATAAATAAAATTTAGAGAAAATGGAAACACACTTTTTAAATTTTTTTTAAAAAAATTTTAATCTATATATCTATACAACTCATTATAAATCAAACTACTTCTTATAAATTATAAATAGTACAATTTATTGTAGATTAAAAATACTTTTTGATTGCTTAAATTTATAAATGAAATTTATCTCTAGTTTATTAGTAAAAATACTATTTTATTCTTTAAATATAAAAACTATTTTTAATATTTAAATAATGAAATAATAAATTATACTATAATATTTAAATACTTAATAATAAATTTTAATATTTAAAGAATGAAATAATATAAAAATTTATACTATGATTTATAGATTAAAAATACTTAATTATAAATACTTTATAATTTATAAGAAGTAGTTTGATTTATAATGAGTTGTATAGGTATATAGATTAAAAATTATTTTTTAGAAAGAAATAAATATATTAAAAATATTTTTATAAGTTATAAATAATTTATTTTCCAAAATCATAATCTAAATAATTTTCTAAAAAAACGTGTTGTTAAATTTTAATTCCAGATTTGTTATTTTATAATCAGAACTTGTTATTTCCAAATGTATTTTTGTTATCACCTGAAACAAAGTGTGTTGTTATAAAAAAAACATGTTGTTAAATTTTAATCCCAGACTTGTTATTTTATAATCAGAACTTGTTATTTTCAAATGTATTGTTGTTATCACCTGCAACAAAATTTGTTGTTATAAAAAAAACATATGTTAAATTTTCATTCCAGACGTGTTATTTTATAATCAGAACTTGTTATTTCTAAATGTATTGGTTGTTATCACCTGGAACAAGAGTAAATGAGTTAACTTTTTTTTTTTTTTTTGTATTATAATGTTAGCAAAAATTTGTTGGCTCGATGGTCATTCCTAATTTTAGGAAGCATTAGGTTGGGGGGATCAACCTCACTTCCCCCTATTTAAAAAAAACAGTTGCAAAAAAAAAACAAAGGAAGGCCGCCGGCAGTGGCCGGAACCGCCGCGGGCATCGGAGCTCCGGTGGCTGGCAGCCGGGGTGTCAGAGCTTCGACACCGACGGCCAGATTTTGGAGAGGCAGTGGCGTTCTTTTTTAAAAAGAAATTAAAGAGGGGTATTTGGTAATTTGGCCATGATTTCATAATGGCAATTTGAGACCCAGTCCTTGTGAACAATTTCACTTATTCAGGTGACATATCTACCATTTTGCATATTTGAGGGTCTTTATTTGCTATTTTTCCTTTTTGTCTTGTCCATCCAATGCATTTTTTTTCTACACACAGCTATCATTTAATTGAAAATAATCTTGTTTGAGGCACTGTCAAGTATTAACTATGAGTAACTCTCCTAGCAAAAATTTGACTTAGTTCACCACATTATGAAAAATTAGCTCTTTATGTATATTTTACTGAACATCTCCCCCAGTTAGGTTATTTAAAGGGCCATCATTTGTTAATTTAGCTTTTTTTAATGTTTTGACAATTTCTCTCTTCTAAATGATCAGATGACACCACACGAACAATATTGTTGCTGGAGAAAACGATCAGAATCCTATATACTTAATTCAGTTTTCCAATCGCATTGAGCATAACTTGATAAAAGTAATACTCAAATGATTTGGTCTCTTAACTCTTCAATAACTAGAAGAGTTCAAAAACTGATTAGACATTACCTCCTCCTCAATGTTTAATAATTGCTGCAGAGAGAATTGGTTAAAAAATTATCACAATAAGTAGAAAATTTGCCATCAGCCAAATTATAATTGAGTATTATACATAGGCTGGCCGGTAGTAATATCAAGGAACTATGATGTTGAAATGCAGTTTTGAATTAAAGACATACAAATTCAACTTGTCATGAGCTATTACTTCAGTTCAGTTAAGATAAATTAAATTAGGATTCATGTACAAATGTACCCCTAAAGTATTTTAGTAGAGGCTTTACCCATCATAAATTTTTTTTGGGTGAGAAAGTATACATAAAATTTTTAAAATAGTGCAAAAATGCCACAGTCTCGATTAAAACAATTATGGATAGATTTGCATCTTAACCCAATAAATTAATTAGGTAAACAAAAATTAAAATAATCAATTGACAGGGAAATTTTTTCCCAGTGTGTGCAAGGGCATCTTTCATAGCCCATATATAGTCACAATCTAATTCGTCTCGGGACTTGAAAATTACAGAAGTGAAGAGAATTTTAATTTGCCTCTGCTAATAAAGTTTTTTTTCCGTATACATAATCAGGGATTAAACTGGTAACAAGTGCAACAAAATCATAAATAGTAAATTATTGCAAAAAGAAGGAAGTATATATATGGAGTTTAAGATACAAAATTCTCGGTCAAACCTTCATATTATTAATTGTCTAAATAATTAACATATATGTGGGTTAAAGTGCTTTCTTACCTGGGAAGTATTATCAAATGATGTGAGATCCCTTAGATGATACAGAGGCTGAATTACTTTTTATTTCTTTAATCCTTATAATAGCTTTCTTTTCAATGTAATGAATATATATAGTAAACATCTATATCTTTTTATTATATGAAATTTACAGAAAGCCTCCTACAATTTCAGCCGTATATAATGTGATGACGATAATATATTTTATTCTATTAATATTAGTTATTTTTAGGGACCTCCAAATTAAATCGTTATGACTTTACCATGAAGAACAAATTTGTTGGTTAAAGTAAATTATTCTAAAAAGGCCTTTGGGAGTTGTGAGAGAGTTTTTTTAAAAAAAAGTTTATACAAATTCCTTTATTCGTAATTTATCTTTACAAGTTCTCGTTACTAAACTTTTTAAACTTTTAAAGTGCAATCAACTTAATGTAATTTAATTAAAAAATAAATTATATAAGCTTAAGTACATTCGTTTTTTCTTAAAATAAACCAATTTTTAAACACGCTATTATATTTCCCTAATAATTAATTTTTAGAAAAAATAATTTGTATTTTACAAAATTTTAAATAACAATATATCGAATCAGTTGAATAAGGTTTATTGTTTTACTAATGGATTTTTTTATTTTAAACTGCTTAATATATCAATCAATAATATAAAATTATTCAAATAATGATTCATTGAAATGTTGATATCATATATAGTTTTCTTTCATACTTTGCTGTGTTTCTTTTCGGCCTGATGAAATGTCTCGTGTAGTTTTCAATTGGTACTGCTATGTAAGGCTTGCTATGGTACTTAGTTCAATTCTAAGAATTAAACAGAGAACATTTTAAAATTTTAAAATTAAACTGAATAACAGTAAATGATAAAAAGATAACAAACGCATCAAAATTAAAACCAAATATATTTCCTAATAATAATAAATATCCAAAATATTTAAAATCTTAATTAATTATAATTATTTCATAGTTATATCTATTAATTGAAAATTGTAAAAACTAATAACAGAACGGGAATAAATCGAAATTTAAACCTTATACAAACAAGTTTAAGTGTTAAAAGTCATAACAAGAGAAATCTAATAATATTTATAAAAAAAAAAAAGAAGTTTTTTCACCAACATAGTTTCTCTAAGGTCAGCTGATAATAAATTTGACAAATTTTCGATCGTCTTCCTGAGAAGTGAAGTCATTAAAACATCGCTATTACTAACACACATAAGGAGTAGTTCTTCCATGAGACTTGATTAATCAAAGGAGCAATTATGCTGTCTACGAAGTCGCTCTTGTTCCTCTGGGGTGAAATCGTTCTTTAAATTGAAGATCTTTCGAATCTGTTTTGGGGTCTTTCCTTTGATCAAATCTGCCACAGTTTGACAAGCCAAATCAAACAACCCCTTAATCTCTAAATAGTTTGCTGCCATTAAAATATGAAACAGCTTATCCTCCACATCTACCTTCATAAACTCAGCGTCCCATTTGTTTAGCTCCTCCGCCTCGGAATCGGAGGTTCCGCCGCCGTTGGCCTTGGCGGCGGCTTCATGATCGGCATGCTTCTGGCAATATTCGATCACTTTCACTAATATTTCAGTGCTTACATTTTCCATTGGGACTTTGTCAATCGAGATGGAATCATCCGTTAGCATTTGCTTCAGTTGCTCCGATTGCATCGCGGCGGCGACTGACATCTTGAACTCGTCGCCGTCGCTGCTCACTACCGTTATATTCTCCACAGCTGACGACATTGTAGTTGTTGGAAAGAATAGGGACCCTCGTGATTGCTCTAAAGAATGAAACAAGGATCGATGATTGTAAATCACATAACCTTCACTGTTAGGGGGTCCTTTATTTATAATGATAATTTGAAAAGATTTTAACTTTGAGAATTGAGATAAGATAAAATTTAAAAGATAAAAGATAATTTGCAAATATTTTAATTTAAAATAACCAGATTTTCTTTTGATTTCACTATGTAAAAAAAACATTATTTACAAGTCAATTTGTTTGGATTTTTTTATTAGGCTCAGGAGTCATAATTTTATTCATGAAATGTTTTGTTGAAATGATTATATGTGTGTGTATATATATATATATATAAGAAATTAAATATGCGTCTGTGTTCTGTTCCATATACCTACATATGGTATCCATATGCAATATTAGCCATACAATATGATAATTTTGTATGTAACATGAATCCAAAGCAATTTAAATTAATCATTTGAATTGAAATTAGGTCAAAGATTTAAAGGAATTCAAATTAAAATTATTGTGATATAAACTTGCCTTCTTACGTTATTAAGAATTGGATCAAATATAATGACTTATCTTCATAGTCCTTCATAATTTGAAAGGATTTTAATTTTGAGATAAAATAAGCTTTCAAGGATAAAGATAATTTACAAATATGTTAATTTAAATAACAAGATTTTCTCATGAAATTTCACCAAAAATAAAGATTTTCTCATGACGATTCAATTTGTTTAAATTTTATTATCAAAATTATTTAAAATTACAGCCGTTAAATCTTATTTTGCAAAAGAAAAATCCCAAAATCACGTGCCATAGCTAACTAATCTTCTAGATTCTTACAGGTGGCATGACGATACCACAAACACGGTTACCACTCGAGATAAAAAAAATTTTATATATATTTATTTTTTATTTCATTAATTATAATGAAAAAATTATTAATAATCCATTTCAAATTGGTCCTTATTCAAATTTATATTTTCTTATCATTATTTTTCTAAAATAATTATTTAAAACAAGTTTTTTATAAATATAATTTTTAAAATTTAATAGAAACAAAATTTAAAATAAAAATAATCCTATAACTAATACTTTTTAAAAATAAATTTATAATTAAAAATTACATATTAAAATTTTTAAATTTGAACTATCTAAATCAGATTTTGAATGGTTTAAATGTCATCATGTCAATGAGCATATGGTGCTCATTACTGCGATAAGCATTGAGTGAAAACTAACCTCCCTGTGTTCCTTATTATCCACTTCTTTATTCTCACCATTAGATCAACTTTGGATAGTTGAAATTTAATATTTTACAAAACTATTAAATCTTAACCCTTTAAAATTGATCTACAAGATCAAACCAAAAAAAAAGTGGTGGGAAGCGGATAATAAGAGAAGTGAGGAGATTCTTTTCCTAATAACTCCTAAAACAGACGACTCCTCCCCTCTCTGATCTCTCCCCATTCTCGCCCTTCATTGTATGTTTGTTGTGTTGCTTAATCGGAGTCTAAAACTGTGATCCAGTTTCAAATGGAAACCACTTTCAATGTTTATCAGGATAATGACTATTATGATGCTCATTAAATATCAACCATTCAAATTTAATATGAATGGCCATATTTAATATTCAATACTTGTGTCTTCGAAAAACATTTTCCTTTAACAGGTACATAATCCAAAATAAATATAATTTATTGACTGTAAGTTTTTTAAAAAATAATTTTTATTTAAAAATCACTAGTTAAAAAATTTTAAATCTAGACTATTAAAATTGTCTGTGGAAATCTAGATTTCACTATTTTAATGATGAGCATCGAAATTATTTCCGTTTCAGATGGGCGCTTCAATAGGTAGGTCCAATTCGAAGTATCCCTAAAATCCTACACTGTTTACTACTCCCTCCGTTCCTTATTATAAGAGACATTTGATGCTTATAACATATTCCTATATATAAGAGACACTTACAAGTTGTCTCTACTTTTTTGTGTTGATTTACTATTTTACCCATATTTATTATCTTCAACTCACACTCTCTCTCCCTCCCACTTCTCTTTCTTTTAATAATTTAGTTGTTCTCTCTCATGCTCTCTCTCCTTATTAATGAGGGCATTTTTGGAAAAAAATTATACTTTTTACACATTAATTGTTCTTAACTAATTTTAACTGTTTTTTTATTAACGTACTTCGGTTATTTGTCTCTTATAATAAGGAACGGAGGGAGTACCAATTTTTCACCATATAACATACATAGACACAGGGAGTCACACAACATAATTACAACAAAGCATGCAGGCCATAACCCTTCTTTCCTTTTTTCGATAATTCTTCTCAGGTTTCTTCGATAATTTGAACCCTAGTTTCCAATGCTCGCTTATTATATCATCTGGGGAAGTGTTCCTCCTTTAATCGATTCATCCCACATAACATTAAAACTTCGAACAGCTCCAGAAACGACGTTCACTGTCCAATACCAAATGCTACGAAACACATGTTTGAGCAATTGACGTACGAGTATTACAGGCAATGATGCCCAGACGATGATCAAGAACCACACAAGCAAGTCTGGAAGCAGGACTGACAACAGAGAAGCTGAAGAAAGCGATCCAAAGACGAGGAGGATATTGTTCAGAACGTCGTCATAGTTGCCACTGAGACTTAGTTGGTGCATACTCTTCTTCACGCCAAGAACTGTGCTGTACAAACAGATGGCTATTATGAAAATCCACATGTTCACTGGGTGTACCTCAGCTGGGGATCTAAGTTTGTTTTGAAACTCAACTTGGATCACACCAAGAAGAAGTGGATCCAGAAACACGAACACGGCATGACTTGGAATTGAACAGATCATTTCATTATTATTATTCCCTTCGTCCATTGTTATAGCACGGGAATGGCTGCAAGAACTACCAATAAATTAATAATACGATCTCTGTGGACGTAGTTCGACCCATTTTCCTGCAACAAATTTCAAATGATAGCAGACAGTATATAGTGCAGTTTTTTGTGTTCTCTTTTTGTCCTGTTCATGCTTTTGTTCAAGATTGTAAGCTTTTTCGGAGTTTATGGCCAACAAGATTATAAGTCATTTTCTCCCCTACGTTTTAATTAGCCGTACGTGAAAGACTCCAAAATCTGAATGAAGGCACATAGTAGTCTTTTTTCTATAACAAGTGTTGTTTGGTAAAAAGCATTGAAAATGAGGAGTAAGGATTGGGGTTGTGATTAAAAAAAACCATTAAAAAATATTTAATATGAGTAATTTTTTATTATGTGGGATCAACCAATGACCAATCTCATGTAAGTGGGATTGGAAAATAGGTATTCTCCAATCTCACATAAATGAATTTATCCAATTTCAAGTAATAAGCAATCATTCATACTAAATACTCTTTTAATATATATTTTCAATTTCAATCCCAATTCCCAAACGAAACCAAAAAGTTTAGGTAAGTGAGGTTCTAAGGGATTTATTAAGACCAGGACATGCTTTTAATTTTAGAGAGCGCTTACAAATATGGTTACGGATCACCCACCATTAAGATTCTTATATCAGGACATGTTAGACTTATAACACTAATATATATACAATATGTGTGTGTCTACCATCCCACTAGCGCAAATCTAGATCCTATCTAATATAAATTTTATTTATAATAGGTTTTAATTATTTTTTTCACAGAAAAAATCCTATGAAATTCTGCGGTTTTATTATTTTTAAAAAAATCATAAAAATTATAAAATAATACCGTTTTATTTAATCAAAAGGAAAAAAAACAGAGAAAATCACCATGTGGTCTAAAAAAAATATAATCACTAAAAAATTTCGTAACAAGTGCATAACAAGTTTTCAGGCGTGAAGTGAGAAGGTCCAAGGTTCAGTGAATTTTTTTGCTCAAGAAAAGAACCTCAATTATTTTTTGTTAATAATGGACCTCACCGATTTCCCCAAAGAAGAAGCAAAAACAACTAGGAAGATGGGACATTAGAATGGGTATTATAGATTGGGGCATCAACCTCAAGTGAAAGAATAGTGCAAATTGTTAACAAAACTATTTTTAATTAAGCACAAACCATTCGAGCCTTAATTTCTTATGTTGTGAAGAACTAACTCTTTTCATTAGATCTAACCCCCATTAATTAACAAAATCATATATCTAAATATAGTTAAAATCTATATGGAGTCATGTTATTTATAAAGAGATAAGGTGCTTAAATATCCTGATAAAAGTATCCACTAAGGATGAGCACCAGCACCTGAAAGATTTTTTAGCTCTTATATACTATAAAAGTTTTATTTTATAACATTTCTATTCTGAACCGTTATTCACTTTTAAGTTTGACCATTAAAGATCCCACTCAAACTGCATGATTTAATAGTCAAACTTAATGATGGATAATAATTAGGATATTTTTGCTACGAAAATAAACTTCTAAGGCATATAAGAGTTAAAAAAAAATCCAAGTGTCAGGTGCTCCTATGTGGATACTTACGAGGTATTTGAACACCTTATAAATCATGATTACTCATCTTAAACAAAATGAAATGTACAGATCTCGAGTCTGCTGTAGCTAGTTGAAATATAAAGTGAATGTATAACTGAAAGCAGAAGATGATCAACTGACCCTGAAGCTTTCGGTTTACAACTGCGTTGATGAACATGGCATGGGTAGCTCAAGATGTGTCTCTTTCTTGCCTTCATCCTTTTTGAAAATTTAGCTCTTGAAGTACTTGAGGCTGAGACATTAGAAAGCTCAACTATTTCTTCCATTTTCACCGTATCAAGTGTGGATATGCATAAAGACTACTAGTCTATACATGCAAAATAATTCAAGTATCATAAATAGATTGCTTATTGCAAGGGTGAAAAATTTACCAAAGGGAAAAACTCTAACTTACCTCTTGATGGTCATTTTTTGCTTAACATTTATTTCAATCTGTGTTTAAATAGCCATATGATCATAAAGTGCAGATCAATGTGTTGACTTTGAT